ATAAGAAACTAAACTTTTGTCTTCAGAGAGCTTATTTTCTAGTGACACATAAAGTAAGTGTTGAACAATTATTCTGTAAAGACCTTTTACATCAATGAAGATATTTATTGTCTCGGTATTGAATTAGCCTATTAACCTTAAAAACAAAAACTGCCTATTATTTTTACCAGCGAAAGATGGGTTTATTTGGGAATAAAAGAGAATTGCAATCTGGCAAAACCATAGGCAAGTCCAGGGAACACAGGAGAAATGTGCTTTTTTAAGCAGAAAAGGGGTGAGCTGGGAAGGCAGTTCCAAACCAATGGTTTGTTGGAGCAAACCGGAAGTTGAAGCATGGTGGCTTCTCATTGGCTGGGCTGGGGTGGGGGGGTGGACAGGAAGAACGTGTCTTCCCGGGGCTGGAATAGTAGAGTGGTGTCCATTTGCAAGGTCGAGTCTGTGCAAGGTTAAGTCCCTGTCTTCCTGTTGGGGCTGCAGTTGGCATGGTTGGGCTGAAAGTGGTCCCGGGTAGACTGGGGAGCCCATCCCCAGGACGTCCACCGAAGGTTCTCCGTCTTGTCACAAGAAAGCATTCAAGGACAGACCAGACACAACGGTTGAGGGGTGCAAATAGGAAGTTCATTAAAGTGGGAGCACACTAGAGATGTGAGAGCGAGTGAACTCAGGGGAGAGCCGCCGTGAGGGGCTGGGTGTCTAGCTTTTACTGACAGTTGTTAACTAGGGGATGGAATATGTAGGATTTTTTTGGTGGGGGGTAGGGTTTGGGGGGCATTTTCTCCCTTATTTGGTGAGGGTTTCTGGCCTGTCTGGTGCCATCTGGCTTCTCGTGGCTTTGTTTCGGAGTGTGACCAGGACCGGCCTCTGACTTCCTTGCTGCTGGCCTCCAGACATCCTGTTAGAACCTAACTGACTGCTTACTCTACCAGTATGGAGTTAGTTCGTCAATCAGTCAAATCGTGGAGTCTTTCATGACCTTGGCCATATCTCTGGTCTGCTAGGTTTTGACTGTTTCAGTTGACTTGTACATTGTATTGGGCTTGAGAAACAAATATTGCATGCTGATTTTGAATTCCCTTCACACTGATGGGGGAATGTGGGGCAAGCTGAGGGCAAAGTACAGGCTGGCACACCCCCGCCCCCAGGTGGGATATGGGTGATGTTCCCAGGACACTCCTGGCTACTCAAGAACAAAGGAAAGGGGTGTAAGTGCTGGCCACGGTGATGTGGGAAACTAAGGCAGATGAAAAATTAAATTCCCTTACTGCCTACAGCCCACTAACATTCCTTGAAACTGGTAGAGTGACCTCCTGCTAGGAGCTCAGCTGCCTCGATGATGACACTTTGCTGGGGGCAAAAGAGAACCTTAGCTTAACATTATCCCAACCTCTAGGATCCTGGAAGTCTACTTCCTTGATCTCAACTGCCCCTAGATAGATGCTGGCAATCAGACTCCAAGCTTATGGCCCCTGGTATACATCTGAAGGGTCTCATGACTGAGGTTTTATTAAACAGCAGTTAGTGGCATTTCCGTAGCAACAGCCAGTCCCTCAAAGTCCTAGAAACCTTGCTTCCTGGGGCGCCTGGGTGGCGCAGTCAGTTAAGCGTCCGACTTCAGCCAGGTCACGATCTCGCGGCCCGTGGGTTCGAGCCCCGCATCAGGCTCTGGGCTGACGGCTCAGAGCCTGGAGCCTGTTTCCGATTCTGTGTCTCCCTCTCTCTCTGCCCCTCCCCCGTTCATGCTCTGTCTCTCTCTCTGTCCCAAAAATAAATAAACGTTGAAAAAAAAAAAAGAAACCTTGCTTCCAAAATTCCTTAGAGACTTAACCTATCCCTGATCCCCTCCCAGCCTGAGGGTATATAATGAGTTACCTGTCACAACCCCATGCAGTTCTTCCTGCCCATGGGTCCTGTCCCCATGCTTTAATAAAATCACCTTTTTTTGCACCAAGGATGTGTCTTCAAGAGTTTTTTCTTGATTGTCGGCTCCGGACCACCCCACCATCACCCCAAAACGTCATCAACACTACATACATCTGATAGTTTAAATAATCAAATAGGGACGGATAGGAAAAAAAAAAAGATGCAGAACAAAAGAAGAAGAATACATTTGTTTTTATTAATTTTGGGAACACACGAGTCCATTAGAAAGTGTAGGGAAGGAAAATTTTTCCTTCTATCCTCTAGGTTCTTTTGGCTGGTCTGTTAATTAAATTGACATAGGACAGATCAATAGGAGAAAACACACTTAATTTCATACATATGGGAGCCCCAAAGACAAGACACTCGGGGGCAAGTTGATTTATATGCCATTCTGAGCTAAGGAATGGGACAGGGGTTGGGGCTTCAACAAGAAGGAAGACGACTCACAGGAAGATGGGCAGAGCAAATGTTTGGAAAACAAATATCTGTCATGTGGTGCAAAGACAATGGGACACAGGAAGGACTTAGAACAAACAGGCCCTGTGAGCTCCCCCCAGCTCACCACCCCTGTTCCACACTTTTTACAGTCTTTTCCGCTAATTGCTCTCTTCCTGGGCCAGGCCTTCTATCTACATTTTTCAGGCAGTTGAGTCAAATGCCAAAGTGGCACACCCTGGGGTGGCCTATTCTGCTCCCCTGGAAAAGCATGTAAACTAAGGAAAGCATAAAAGGTTTTAAAGTGTTCTCCCTGACCACAGTACTGAAATTAAATACATATATCCCATTTTATACATAGGTAAACTGAGACAAGAGTCAGAACACAGTGACCTGATCAAACATGTCTCCCTCTCCACTCTCCTAATTAGCTTACTGTTAATCAGCTTGTATAAGATTTCGCATGCGTCAAAAAATCATCAGAGACGTAAAAATGGACAACAGAAATTGTTGGGTCCTTGCCTTAGTGAAGTGCTGGGCATGGTCTAGCAGACCCTCTGGGAATTATCCAGTTTTATAGGAATGGGCACCTTGGACTGACTTTTATTCACGAGGCTATTTTAGAACTCTATGGTGGTAGAGGTCAACTTATTAAAACAAATAATTTTGCAAGTGCTTCTTGTCTACATCACTGCAAAGGATTTTGCACGCTTGGAATACAATTCTGTCCAGGAGAAGAGAGGACCCCAAACACTGAGCTTTATTGTGCTATAGGATATTAACCAGTTTTGCACCTGTTAGAATTGACTTCAGCCTTTCTGATTGTGTGTGGTCTGTTCTTCTCATTCTCCTTTGAAACATTTCTAACTGTTTACTCATTAACTAGTGAGACATTTGACATTGTGTTCATATTATATGTTTAAAAGTCAAGTTTTCAGGTTTTTAAAAAAGGACTTTATTTGCCAAGTAACCTCCACACCCCACATCGGGCTCAAACCCACAACCTCAAGATCAAGAGTCACAGGCTCTACCGACTGAGCCAGCCTGGCACCCCAAGGCCTTGCCTTTTCATCTGATTGATAACACCAATACATTGGGAGAGTTTCCAAGAGAGAAGGAGGAAGAAGTCCTGACTGAGATGTCAAGGGCATCTTGAGAGAGCACACCGCCCAAGGTGGGCAGGCGAAGTCTGAAAACAAGTTCATTGGCAGAAAGGAGGACTGGCAGCACATTTTCTAAGTGTTTGGAAGATAGGACACCACGGTTCAGAAAGGGCAATGGAGCAGGGGATTGGAGTTGCTGCTGCACCAGCCACGTTAGCCAATAGAAAAGTGAAGGTGACCGGGGTCTTGAGCAGCGGCCACTTGTCACATGGTTTGCTGGGGTGGGGTGGGGGTGGGGGGCCCTACATGAAGTCTCCTTAATCCCCGGAGGATCTCGAGGGAGGACTTGTTCCCTAAATGTAGGGATGGAGGACACGTTCACAGATGGCCCGAGTCATGCAGAGCGGTCCCACACCACACTTTTGTGAGTCACGGGGCTTCAGGCACACACATCTGATTCAAGACCTTCACGTTTTCCACCTCTTTGCGTTGCCTTGGAGACAGTATTTGGGGTGCTCTCTGTGAAGACCGACACCAACCCAAACCAGACAACTATCCACCCCCCCCCCCC